ATATTTCTGTAAGAAGCAGTTGCAGATTTTTATCATGGATAGACGTCGAGTTGTCTTTTTCAAGAAGATTTTGAAAGCTTGATTCATAGTCATCATAGGCAAGACGCAAAGACTTTTCATGAATTCTATTTATTCTGTTGTTCATCTGTCGATCACAAAACATCCAAATTAAAGGGCAGTAGCTAAATTGTGATAAAATGAAGACGTGCATGGTCTGTTTCACTTTTCTATCATCCATGTAGTTGGAGATTCGGGATACAGCATGTAGCTTTTGGCTGGCCTTTTTGCATATCGATTGTACGTGTCCTTTGAACGACAAATTATTATCAATACTTATTTCAAGAAGTTTTTGTTCTTTACTTGGTTTAATTATCGTTTCATCTATTTTCAGAGATGTGTCATTGCTGCCTTTACCAAAATTTATAAGATGGCATTTATCCCCATTCAGTTTCAAATAATTATTTTTAAACCATTCTCTCAAAATAACTGCATCTTGTTCTAGTGTTTTAATAGCCTGCTTAATGTCTTGGTGGATGACATATAGCGTTGTGTCATCAGCATAATTGCATATTTAGCTATTTGATGTAAACATAAACATGTCATTTATTTATATATTGAACAAGAGAGGTCCCAAAACTGATCCTTGTGGCACACTTACCCTGGATGCAACAGTCATACATCCAACTCTATTAAAAGACTACCTTTTCTTATCAGTATGTTAATGTTTACACCAAAAAGCAACGCACGAATTAACCATCATAATAGCCAAAGACCGAGATGCAACTTTTTGTTTTGGGGGGGGGGAGGGGCAGCTCTGATAAATAAGCGTAACAACAGCCATATTTTACAAAGCAAAAATATCTTAATTATGCTACATAGGCATTTTTTGGGGGCAAAGACTCAGGTATCTCGGTCCTTGATAACGGCGATATGAAACAGAACGCCAGACACTGAAAGACACCTTTTGCAGTGCAATGCGGAAATCAGCATGCTTCACTGCTTCACTACAGAGTTATCCCTCTAGCGTACTCTATACACCTCATTGGTTTGCATTTACATAACAAAAATCGAGCCCTCAAACGAACCCAGACTAGTTTGTCTAGTGTAACCAGGGCTTTCACGCGGAAGTGGAATTGAGATGACTGCTCAATGGTGTCGAGTGACGATTGTGTATCAAAAATATAATAACATTTAATAGTAATAACTTCATAGACTTGTGTGTATTTGGTATTGAAGAAAGGCAGCAAGTTTGCCATTTGTGGCTTCATCGACTGTTTTGCAGACTTAACTGTTATAGTTTATCTGCTTTAGTCTATCACTGCGGCTGAAATTGAGAATTTGCTTTTATACGAATCATTGACTGATTGTTATACGAGCAGGCCATTTATTTTGGTGATGTTTTTTTTCGTTCAACTTCTTGGCTGGTAGGTCAACGAGAGAGACAGTTGCAAGGTAGAAGATGTTATGTAGTATCATTTGCTAGCTCACCAAAATTTGTGGGATCGTAGCAATTGCTGTCGGTCACGTCCATCATGGGAATAAAATGGAAATGGCATCCCATTTTGGGCCTAGTCCTGTTAACCTTGGGCTGTACTGTGAATCTTACCAAAGGAATAGAAGGTAAGCAGTGACTCTGTTGTTGCGCAAAGCAACATTGCCTTTATTGCAACTTTTTTAGTCATTCGGTGTATGGGACTAGGTAGTGTCTTTTTCTGAAAAACTCTCAGTCTGTTTGTATCTACAGGTTTCTCCGTGACACGTGAAGAATAACTACAAAAAGCCTCTAGATTAAATAAATTGACACAGATGAAAATTTTAAGTAAATAATATATACTGAACTTTCTTTAAAAAATTTCATCTCTAAGTTTAAAAACCCCTCTGGAAGATTGAAATGTTTTACATGGATTTTCTCAAGTGAAAATAGTGGCAGCAGGCCTTCCTGAGAAAAGATTAGCGATATGAGGAGTTGTTTGTGAAGTTATTAGAAATATGATATCTAGCTTCGCATCTCAATAGGAAAATTGTATAGGAAAGTCGATCAACGATATGTGATTTGCCAAGATAATGACCGTTAGAAAATCGATGATAACGATGCCATATAGATTTTGCCAAAACAAAGGATTATCGGGAGACGGTATGGTTTTTACACTACCCTGAAAGACCCCTGGAAAGTTGTCCTCATTTCCTGTGAAATTTCGTGTGGTAAGGACCAGAGGAGCGTTCGCCCTGCAATCGAAGGATTTGAAAATGAAATTAATCCCGAGGAAATCAAGAATCATATTGATAACTGTGATAATAGGGGAATAAATAAGTTTTGTAGCTAGATATAAGGTCAAGGGAAAATTAAATTCTCAAAGCAAAAGATTTTGAAAAAGCTCTTTTGTTTTGAAAATAATAGGAGGGCCATGATGTATAAAAAATGAGTTTCAATTTGAGATTGTGTATCAGTGACATACTATTGTATTTTTTCATCATCATGCTTTATGCTTTTTTATTTATAGACTGTCATTTCTTTTCAGTTCCTGTTTCATTGCCTGAGCTTGAACATTGGAGGATAGTCAAAAATGGCACTAGTTCTTCAGTTCGCAATAATGTAAGTATAAGCAAGTCACCATGAAAACTACACAAAAATATTTCAGGGCAAGGGGACATGGTATGGTAATAATCGTTATTATTTTAGCAGGAAATAAGTAGAAACGACTAGGAAAAATATAGGAAACAAGTAGGAAACAAGTAGGAAACGGGTAGGGAACGGGTAGGGAACGGGTAGGGAACGGGTAGGGAACGGGTAGGGAACGGATAGGGAACTGGTAGGGAACGGATAGGGAACTGGTAGGGAACGGATAGGGAACTGGTAGGAACAAGTAGAAACAACTATGAAATAAGCAGAAATTGGTAGGAATAATTTTAACTGCGGCAGCAATTTTAATTTACTCCTGAATTCAACTGTTTAGGGACTTACAAAAACACAACTGGGGCTTTGGGGCTAGGCCCCCTCTCCCTAAACATTCAAACATTGTTCAAGAAGATTTTCAACCTGAACAGCTCTTTAATTATTTTTTACTAATCTTACAGGTCATAAAATTAAATTTTGCAGTAAAATAAAAGAAACCATCCTAGAAAGGATTGAAGCACCCGCATCTCGGAAAAGCCCCACAAATGTCCTCATCTACATTCAGATTCGAATTCTGCATCAAAAACTACCCTAGAAAAAGTAGGTATCGTAAAGTTTCCTTCAAGGTGGTAATGCTCCTCCTCCAGCCACTGGACTACATTATTTCCCTTCATACGATGCATAGCATGTAACTATGAAAATTGTTCCTTTATAGCTGGCTTAAGCTCTCTATATTTTTCAATTTACTGAGAGTTTACTTAATTTATTTTTAATTTCAATTTACTTAATTTCTGGAAGTGTTTATCTGACATGTTGCTGTTGTAATGTTGGCCTTTTGGGTTGATAAATCTAGGGATTAAGGAATGATGTGAATAGCTACCACTTTACCAGAATAGATGTCATTAGAATATCTTCTTTCTGATGTGTTGTTACCACTGATCTAAAAAAAGACTGGATCGAGCTTCTCCAGCCCAGAGTTGAATCCACATAGCAGCGTCCATCTTGAGACCTCGCCGTGTTGTATGAGACTAGAGTTCAATCATATTGGTTTTAGTTCAACTTGATTTTTCATAGCAAAATTCAAAGCAACCGTTGAAACAAAAACTTGCAGCATTCGTAAATGGTGTTAAACATTTTTGCCGTGGTAGTAAGCTTATGTAACGGAGAATCCACTGTTCACTTATTTTCCTAGGCTTGTTTTCTCTTAGAATATTTAGGAATTTAATGATAAATGCACAATTTAAAGCGCAGCACTGTGTGTGCACCATTTTAACAAATGGCAGCCAAAGCTTTAAGCGCGAGAGGTCTCAAGATGGAAAAATTCGATCGCTTCCTTTGTGTGGATGTAGGAGAACAAAAGGTTGTTTGATCCTGTTTTTTTAGATCAGTGGTTGTTACTTGAAAATTTTTAGTGTAATCTTTTGCTATTGCACAAAAATTTTACGAGTAAGTGCATTATCTTTCAATGCTAAGTAATGAATTTAAATCAGGCACCAAATCATCTGACACTCATTTTTTTTCTTTTTTTTTCAGTGGAGTCTGAAGACAGATAAGACCGGGTTCGTTGCTTGTGAAACAAGTAATGGTGTCGTAGATGGCAATGCTATAACACCATTTATCACTACAAATCCAGCGAAGCAGATAACCCTCAGAGTTACTTATACTTTGCATTGCTGTTTTGCCAAATTGTTCATTGGTGTCTATGTCCTTTTGGGCTCAGGTGAAATATCTGCGCCAAATGCTCTAAGCTTCAAGTACATTTCTGCTTTAAAGAATACCTCATCACTGAATCCGTTATCTAGAGCACAGTTTACATCAGCTATTACTATTGGAATGGAAGGAAGGACTGGACTTTTTATTGCTTTTAGAGATCAAGGAATTTGTGGAAGCCTTGATTCATTTCATCTTAGTTACATAGAATGTTCATGCTCAGCAGGGGAATTAATGTCATTTCCACTTAGAATTGCAGCTCCAAACAGCACAGTTTCATTCCGAAAGGTGCTTGGAACATGCTTTCCCAATGCTGTTGTCCAAATTTCAGAAGCAGCAAATTACATGTTTTGTTATACAAATGGTTCCACCAAGGTAAATGGTGGCTGTCATTGCAAAGCTGGATATGAAAAGCATTTCTTTACCAGTTGCCATGGTGAGTATAAAAAATTTGCGTAGACAAGGACCATGGAGCATATTACAGATTGAGGAGGCTAAAACGTTTTGGGAGGGGCTAAACATGCTAAAAGCCAAAAGCAGAGCGATTTTGGTATGGTTTGAGTAAATTTTGGAAAATATTGGGAGGGGGCATAGCCCCAGTAGCCCCTCCTCTTCCGCAGTCCCTGAGCATACATATTTAGACGTTTAATAAAATGATAAAACTATGATAAAAAGTTGTTTTATCTTCTGTTGGTTGATACTTTGATTGGTTGGACTTTCTAAATAATTTGTAGACCAGCGATTTCTAGTTCCTAAGACTGCGATATTATTTAAGGAATAAAATATCCAGAATATTGTATTTTCAGTTAATTAATTTTGTCAATTGTTTACCTACTGTATGTGTTATAAAAATTTGAATTAACTTTTTACCTTTTTCAATGCAAGTTAACTCATTGAGATATTTATCAATGTAAGGTGCTTATAAGGAGCTAACTTTTAAAATAACTTCTTAAGATCTTAAAGAGAACGAGCAGTTATGGAAATTGCAACTGCAATATCTATGAACAAGTTATAATGTTTCATATTAGTACGTTATAACACAAACTTAATCGTTGTTCTCTGTCCTTTACAACAGCGTTTAAAGAGTCGAAAGATGGTAACCCAATATTCAGGTCACCTTCTCTTTATGAATAAGTAGCCCATTTTAATAAATTCCTTTCTTTACAAAATTTAGATTCTTGAATGCAGCTTCTACGTCTAATTCAAATACAATGAAATGGCTAGGGCTTATATCTATCGATTGTCTTGAAACTTTCCTTCATCGAATTCATAGGAGTGTTATGGTGATAATTTTTGTTCTTTATTGCCATGCTTTTACAGAATGTCCCGCAAAGAGTTTCAAAAGTGCTGCTGGCAACTTTAATTGCACCAGATGTGGTGCAAATGTTGAGGACGAAATGAAGCCAAGGACAACACCTTGTAAATGCAACAATGGATATTACAGGCCACTTCGATCTAAAAGTATTCCAACTGTCGACTGTGAAGGTGAGCTTAGTTCAAAAAGATTATTGATTTCTTATGAAAGAGAATGAATAGATTTACGAACCCATAAATACGTTGAAACTGAAGGTCATTTAAGCCCATTGTTTCACTCACGATTGATCTCAAACCTTCTCAATCACATCATACCATTATAAATATTCAATTTATTTCTTAATTTAGCAGCTCTGTGGATGCACAAAGGGGCGAAATATCAGTTATATATCAATGGCACTAAAAAGCTTTTAAACTTTCCGTTAAATATTCTCACTCTTTGATTTTATAAACAAATTTTCCTCCCTAATAAAATCCTTTTCCCTATATACACGAATTATGCAAAACTTTTCATTTTCGGCTCTGGTCCTTTTTATATTATTGCTTTCTAATGCTTTCTAATTAAAAATTCTCTTTTCACTACTCTTCTATTCTTTTGCCCTCTGACTTCGCTACGAGCTAGGTGCCATATATTCTTGTCTTTTTGGCTTTTTGTCTATTTCTGATTCTCAATTTTTTCTTATCATTTTTAATCTCAATACTCGTAAATAAATATGGTTTTCAACAGCGCCACCATCTGCTCCAAATGTTGTTAGGGTAAAACAGATTGGGTCAAAGTGGATCTTATTAGAATGGATGGTCCCCATGGACCAGGGGACTGGAGACAAACCGAGTTACACGATAAAAGCAAGCTGTTCTAAATGTAAAATTCCCCCGGACTTTACAACATCTAACCTTTTTTTCAATATCACTGGGCTGAGCGCCTACACCCGATATGACGTCAGAGTCTATTCCATCAACAATGTCACTGCTGCCATCGGCTTCGACAAGGCTCAGTACAACAGCACTTCAGTTTTGACTGGATCAGGATGTGAGTGAACGTTTGGCTTAAGTTACTCTGTTTTTGCCTAATGATGTTTTAAGGAACAGCATGTGATTGAACACATCCTCTTTTTTTGCAAGACTCTGTACTAACCTATGGCATATACATTATTTAATTTAGAAAATTAAAAAAAATTGTTTAATGGTGGCAATGTCCGTGTATTAAGATTAGAAGCCTAAATGAGAAAGTCGAGCTTTTTACAAAATTTTTTTTGAGTTGATTTTATATTCGTTTATTTGGGTAAATATCCCAATAGATATTTCGTTGGTTTATGTACTATATCTCATTTTCAGTGCCTTCGGAGGTTCAGAATCTTACTAAAAGGACAAACTCTGATGCATCAGTGACAATTTTCTGGAACGAGCCATTGACCAAGGGTGGTGATGATCTGCGATATTTTATCACTGTTAATGGTGAAAAGGGAATGTTTACCACCAAAATGAAATACACTGTTAAGCAAGATCTAGAAACGAAAAAGTACACTGTGTCTGTAAGTATGAAGTTTTGATTCCCAAACTTTATATCATTGTCCAGAAAATGTTTAAACCTCTCGACCGAAAACGTGTTGGAGGTTTTATGAAAAGAAAACAATTTCAGTTGGCACATCCATATACATTATTCTTTGTTTTTTATAAAGTAAGAATCTTCAAGTCAAAAATTTCTCTCACCAACTTTGCCGAATAAAAAATGTGCCTATAAGAAAAGCTGATTGCAACCTTTGGTCAGAATCTGATGATCTACCTTTCTACAGTGTTCTTCGTTACGCTTAGTAGTGTTACACAAACTAACATTTATCAAAAGCAGATACCGTATTGACATTATCGTGAACTACGAATGCACGAAAAACTGAACAGATGACATAACAATTGCTGAAAGCGGTATGAAATAATCAATAAACAAGAAAGGTAATGTAGTGATCCGGTTTTTATCTGTGAGTGGTTTGGGGTATCAGGCAGTCCAATTGCAATTTTCGATTTCATCAAAGAAAAGACATCTTCACTAAAGAAGGCTTTACATTTTCTTGAACTCTTCTCTTCTCTCCACATTATCTAAGCATGCTATTGGTTCAATTTTCGACATTTATCAGCTTTTAATTTACCATTCTTGTAACATTTGATCATTTCAATGTGAAAATGCTTTTACTCCAATTATTGGAGAAACACAGGCGATTCTAACAAATCATTAGAGTTTTCATCTGGCCAAATTCTTTCGAGGTGAACTTCACAGGCAAAGAAGACATGGGGTGTGGCAGATTTTCAGTCAATCAGGCAAAAGTTCTCGTATTTTGATAGTATTTCTGGCTCCCATAGGGCAATTCAATCTCAACAAAGCAATTATTTTTGGGCAATGTCTGTACTAAATCCCCTAAACCGTTAACATCCGCCACGTCTTTAATGTACCTTGTAATTTTGCTCCAATACGGCAGACATGCATAGTTTGCATGTTACTATTTTCTTCCTACTTGCATTAAACACCATCCTCGACAATCATCGTAAAGGATCGAGATTTTGCGAGCAATAGAATTTTTAAAGATTTTTCGCGACCGCGAAATTGTAACAGATTTTAATCAGTGTACTATCTTACAAGAGCATTGCTTTTTGAATAACTTTTTCAGTCCTCGATCTATACCGCGTTTTTAAAATGGAATTTTGCTCAATATTGTTCTTAGAAGCATGCATGACCGTGGGTAGTAGCGTAGAAATATTTTGAAAAATGTAGGGATTTGTCGGGAGAATCGACGCTGACGTGCATAGGTGGAAGTAGGTAGGAATCGCCTGCGCAGTAGTGAGAAACGACCAAGCGTAGCAACATTGAAGTCATTTCATAATGCTCTGAACAAAAATGGTCGAGTAATTGTGAGTGATCAGAGAATATAATTCGAAATATAAATGGAGAAAATTAGAGAATAATAGATAAATAAAGAGGAAGTAGAAATAAAGAGACAAGACAGAGAGAAGAAGCATTCAACTTGACACCGGCTTTTGAAACGAAATTGGTGGCGTTTAAGCAATGATTTTCTGTCATTTGGGCATGGTTTTTAAATACTAGAGCTAAAAATCGATTGTGAAGTGTCTGCAGGAATTAAGAGCATAGGCTTCTGTGCCTGCAAGCGTCACTCGCACCCTCTCGCAGGGTTACGAGGTCTGCTTAGAATATATTCTTTTTGCAGATGCCCACGTATTGAACTTTTAAATGATATTTTTATTTTCAAATTAGGTAAAGTCACACACGAGCGCTGGATTTTCCAAAGAAGAAGTTATCAGATTTGAAATTAAAGGAAAAGGAAAGTATTAGCCAGTGGAAATCAAAATTGTCATCATTAACGAGTTATATTTCATGTTTCTTCGCAGGTTCTTTAGTTTTTCATATCATATTAAAGTGGTGATGATAGGCCAAGCTAAGTGGTCGCCAAGCAGAACGTTGAATAAAATGCCTCCTATAGTCGCCTTGAGTGATGTATGAATTATATATTGAATTATTTTTACAGGTATTTCACTGACTTTGGTCATTGCTGTCGTAGTCATATTGTTTGTCTTACTCTTGATTGCTATCGCTTTCATCGTATACTTCTACCGAAGGTACGTCTTTCCTGCTACATCATTTTTCATGTTTTCAAGAAATTTTTCACTGCAGGTTTGATTAAAATGACTTAGTTCATGTTACGAATACCTTCATACGATTTTCATAAATGCCCCCCCCCTTTTTTAGCAATTTTCCTTCCATTTTTTCAAACCTTTTTTATACAGAAGTTATCTCATTTGCGCTATTTGTGTCCTTTTGCCATTTTTCCACCGAGTGACTCCCTTTAATTTCAAACTACTCCTCTAGACTATGCGTATAGATTTGCTCTTTATTTGAATTACTCACAGCCACGTCAATGGCAAGGGGTGCTTGGTTGTCACACCAGGGAAATCAGAGAAGTCATAAAGACTAAGTCATCATTCCATTAATCCATAATTAAATAACTCATAATAATATTACATAATTAAATATCTTTCCGTCAGGGAGTAATATTACATAACGCTTATTCCAAGAATGTTTTCAATTAAGATAGGAAGTAGCAGAACTGTCTGACGTTTAGGTTCTGCCAGTAAAGCTAAGTATAATTTTAACAAAGTTACAATTGGCCTGTTTTTCAGTCGGAAATCTAGCACCTTTCACCCCCTCCCCCCCCTCCTTCAACTAAAATATCTGTCAATTCAGATCCCTGGTTATAGCTGTCACTTTTATGTCCAATAATATTTTGTATCTTTGTCAATAAAATGTGTTAATTTCCTGTTTATCAAGGGGACATCCAAAGCATCTCCAAACTGTTCGACTTGAAAACGGGGAAGGTTCGTACACATTCGCTGTTAAATATTTCTTAAAAATTTTCAATGTACCCAGCTATTCTTTCCCTAAATAGTGAATTCGTTGATCGTAAGTAGAAGTTTTGATAAATGTTTGTATATCATTTTCTTTCCCTAACAGTTAGTGTTTCCCATAATATTTCAGGCTTTTGTTTCTATTAATCGTTTAATTTTGACTTTTGATGTCAACCAATTACGATTTCAATTATTGTAGATTCAGGCAGGCAAATTCGACCTGGAACTTTTAAGTATTACCGAACCTATCATCAATTTTTTTTACCGGCCATCAATTTTCTCTAGAACTAGCACCGATAGGTTGAGTCATCATCATCATCATGATCATTATCATTAGCAACCTTTTTTCGATGTTTGCTAGACAGTAGTTGTGCAAATAATTTACGCTAACATGAAGCATCTAAGAGATTGCATCATGGAAAGAACTGACTCATGTTAGTACATGCTGTGAAGCAGAATTTTTTGCCAGAAAACCAACTTCCGTTAAGAATTTCGAATTCATTTATATTTATGGACGATTTGCTTCAATTTTAAAGTGAATTCGAGATCTTTGGACCTAAGTCTTAATAGCGTGACTGATAGTTTCACATTTGGAATTCAAAATATTTGTTCATACATAGGTTTTTGCATGTGCTTTTCGAGAGAAAAATATCTTTCAGAAATGTTGTGTTCAAATTATGCAAAGTTTTAAATACCTTAAGAGTTAAAAGCTTGGTTGACCTGGTCCTAAGTTTCTCTTACATTGTTCAGTGATTCTACCAAGT